GAGGTCAAGCAGAACTGACTGTACTGGCACATACAGCCTCTTTTATTCACAATCCACAAACATAGTACTGCCCACAGGGTTTTGAAATACAACCAATCAATCCGTACAATACACACAGACACTCCCACACAAAATCCTCCCCTCTGCCTGTGATATGATTACTGAACACAATGGGTAATATAATTATCACAGGCAGAGAAATACAGTTTTTACAAAATATTAATAACTTCCAAAATATACATGCCATTCACATAAAACATACATTTTCAGAATCCGCATGCTTGAAATATACACATACTCAAAAATCAGGGCAATCGGTTCAGGGGTTAAAAAGTTAAGGGAAAGTCCTATTTGACAAAATGAAGCATGGTTTTTCTGCCCAAAACTAGTTCCACAGAGTCTTCTATCCTGGAGATAATTGGGAAGTAATCCAATTATCTCCAAGGGCAGAGGCAAAACTCCATTAGCCACATGGTAGCAAAATACAATAAAATACATAAAAATATAAAACTGTGCAGCGATTGCATAAAACGGTTACATTCAACATATCCCCAGATAGCTTAGATCTGAGCGCAAATTATTACTGAATGGTGCTCAGATCACATACATACAGTTAAATTGCCATGGAGCCAAAGTCTTTCACATAGTCTTTCGTTATATGAATGGGCTCCATGGCATAGTTATCTGGGGTAATACTGCTCACATAGGGAAAGTACCGAATCACCCGGCTTTCGGGTTTTTGCAGGGGAAAATCCAGCATTTCAACATGGGGCCATAGTCACAGGGCAGGAGGCTGGCAATCAGTCTTCTCCAATGCCCGGTGGCGAGGCTGGTTCCGCCACATTTCTCCCCTTTCCCCAAAAAACTAACAAGGTATCTGGCCTCCTGTCGGTCAGTGCCTTGGTTAGTCCAGCAACCCACCCACAAAACATAGTCAGTAGTGCAGCCCACCCACAATGAAAAGTTACTGCACCTGGGGAAACGTGCAGCCAGTCTTTGTCCAGGGGCTCCATCACGGCTGTGTTTGGTACAGGTACTCCGGATCTGTGGGTTGCTGAGTGGGCAGAGACCAGCAGTACTCTGCCCTGGTGCCAGCACTTCAGCTGGAGTAATCTGGTTGGAGCCCAGCTGTGAAGAGGGGGTGGTAGGCTCCTCTCCCTGGATCCGGTGCTGCTGCTGGAGGGGGAGACCGACTGTCTACCCTTTTGATAAACAGTCCTGCTGCAGGGGGACAGGACCGACTGTCCCTACACCCTGTGGTTTGGGCAGAGAGACCATGGTCCCATCTGCAGCGGTGTGGGGCTTATCATCTCCCCTTGGTGGGCTAGGCTGCTGCTGGGAAGGGGGAATGAGACTCTCCCCTCCTGGTAGAAAGCTCTGCCACTGGGGAGCAGGACCGACTGTCCGTACTCCCTGTAGCTTGGGCGCAGAGACCACGGTCCCATCTGTGCTGGTGGGGGCTTAATGTCTCCCCTTGGTGGGCTATGCTGCCACTGGGGAGAGGGGGTAACAAGCTCCTCTCCCTCACACACTTTCAGCTGCTGGGGAGGAAGGATGGCACCTTTGGCTCCCTGTGATACATACTGCCGCTGGGGAGGAAGGACAGCACCTTCAGCTCCCTGTGATACAAACTTCCGCTGGGGATCTGGGCCGACCACCCAGCATCCCTGTAGGGCCAGTAGAGAGATCGCCGTCCCATCTCCACCTGCCATCTGTGGGTCTTCCCAGGACCAGTCTGTGAGGTCTCTCAACATTTGCGAGTAAGGACCACCTGCTTCCGCACGTCGCAACTCCGGCTGCTGCTGGGGATCTGGGCCGGCTGCCCAGCATCCCGGTGGGCCCGGTGGAGAGACCTCGTTCCCATCTCCACCTGCCTGTTGTGGTTCCTCACAGGACCAGTCTATGAGGACCTCTACTTCGGGTTCCTCCGGCCACCTCAGGGGAAGACGGCTAACCTCCTCGGATGCAGCCTCTACTCAACTGCTGTAACACTCCTTCCGCTGAGCATACTCTCTCTCTTTCGCCAGCCAGAATTGTTGGTCCAGCCTTGTGTTTCGCTCGGCCGTGACCTGGTTCCAGATCACCTGGTGTATCTCCATGGGTACATCATCCCCATACTGGGCAACTCGCTGCCTCACCTCGGCCAGCCAATCATCTTCAGAGCCAGAGCCTTCCATACCTATCTGCTCCAAGTCGCTAGATACCTCCGTTCCCAGGGGTGCTGCACGAGTGCTAGCATTGCCCTCAATTTGTAACTCCACGAACGGTGTCTCTGAGCTGCTTTACCTTGCACTAGGACGCCATCCCACTGCTGCCACCAATGTAACGGATCACCTGGCACCTCGACTGGTTACCTCCGTTGAAGGATGCTCCTAGCACTTCCAAGTACTGCAGCTGACACCACAACCACAGAACCAGAGAAGCATGCAAATGCTCTCAAGCATGTGAATGCTGTAAGCAGCTGAACAGGAAAAGCATACAATCAGCTTACACTCCTGGCAATCAGCATACAATGATTTGATAAGATGATAGGAAACTGTGGTTGTTTGGCCATAGTGTACGTATATGGTGTTGTAACCCTGTCAGGTATAATTTAATGGTATTGTAAGATAATTTTTACTTAAGATGGCATAAAGAAGTGAAAGCTACAATAGTTTCCATCGATGTTTATTTACAACCTAAAAGACCAACAAGAATCTGTTATAAATACGGAATGCCCTGTCGTATGGCTTTCTAGTATTGTCAGACAAAGCTGATTGTGAAAGGAGTCTGCCATGAGTTAACAGATCTCTAAATCCAATGTCATGTCCTGCCATGATGGAGCCGGGGTAGCTACCATGGCTGCTGTCAGTAACTAGAGCTGAGCGAACCCGAACTGTAAAGTTCGGGCTCGTAGTGAACATTACGATTTTTGGACCCCGTACACGGACATTTCAGTAACAGTTCGGGTTCGAGTTAAGCAATCAGTCTGTTTGTTAGGTGGGCACTTGCAACTGCATGTGTGCCAGGCACATTACTTTAATCCTGTTCTGGTAGCTCAATGGGCAACATCTAGGCATAAACACTGCTTTGACATTGCAGTTTGACAAATTCACATTTTTTTGATGCTAAAAAGTAAATTTGAGGCGTGCACTTCATATCTGAGAGTCAAATAGAGCCGTCAAATACTGTGGTTACATCGCACTTTGAAAAATTCTATTTTTTTTTTGGTGCTAAATAGTACATTTGGGGCATGCACTTCATATATGAGAGTCAAATAGAACCGTAAAATACTGTGGTTACATTGCACTTTAAAAAATTTTTTTTTTTTTGGTGCTAGATAGTACATTTGGAGCGTGCACTTCATATCTGAGAGTCAAATAGAACCGTCAAATACTGTGGTTACATCGCACTTTTAAAAATTCACATTTTTTTTGGGTGCTAAATAGTAAATTTGCTGCCTGCGGTGCACTTCATATCTGAGAGTCAAATAGAACCGTCAAATACTGTGGTTACATCGCACTTTTAAAAATTCAAATTTTTTTGGTGCTATAAAGTAAATTCGGGGCGTGCACTTCATATCTGAGAGTCAAATAGGACCGTCAAATACTGTGGTTACATCGCACTTTTAAAAATTCAAATTTTTTTGGTGCTATAAAGTAAATTTGGGGCGTGCACTTCATATCTGAGAGTCAAATAGGACCGTCAAATACTGTGGTTACATCGCACTTTTAAAAATTCAAATTTTTGGGGAGCTAAATTGTACATTTGCTACCTGCGGTGCACTTCATATCTGAGAATCAAATAGAACTGTCAAATACTGTGGTTACATCACACTTTTAAAAATTTAAATTTTTTTGGTGCTAAAAAGTAAATTTGGGACGTGTATTTCATATCTGAGAGTCAAATAGAACCGTCAAATACTGTTGTTGTATCGCACTTTGAAAAATTCAAATTTTTTTGGTGCTAAATAGTACATTTGCTGCCTGCGGTGCACTTCATATCTGAGAGTCAAATAGAACCGTCAAATACTGTGGTTATATCGCACTTTTAAAAATTCAAATTTTTTTGGTGCTAAAAAGTACATTTGGGGCATGCACTTCATATCTGAGAGTCAAATAGAACCATCAAATACTGTGGTTGCATCACACTTTTAAAAATTCACATTTTTTTAGTGCTAAATAGTACATTTGCGGTCTGCGGTGCATTTCTTGCAATTTAATAAAACCGTTAAATACTACTGCTACATTGTTGGTTTAAAAAAATAACACTCTTTTGAGACAGTGAAGTAACTGTATTAATTACGCCTGTCACAACAGTGTGACCTCTAGATAAATTTTCTCTTTAGGACATCGGCACTGCCTTACTGTCAGTGAACTTAATTGTTGACTATTGACGGTTACATTGTCGCCTGACATAAACCCTCTGTTAGTTTGGGCCTGAGGCGGATAGCAGTCACTTCCGCCACCAAGGATTGCAGGGCATTTCTCTTTGCCTCCTGTTGCCTCCTCCTCCTACTCCGTTTCCTCCTCCTCCTCTACCACCTCCTCTTCCGGTCAGCGTAACACCTTCACCACCAACTTCAGCACAGCCAGGGGCAAATGACAGAAGGCTGTTTTAAAACTCACATGTTTGGGAGAAAAACCCCACACCGCGCAGGAGCTGTGAACAGGCATGGATCAACAGGCTGATGAGTGGTTGTTGCCACTGAGCCTCAAGCCCAGCCTGGTGGTGTGCGATAATGGGCTTTGACGCACATCCCTTGCCTGGCGCATGTGCTGAATTTGGTGGTGCAGAAATTCCTGAAAATCTACCCAGATATATTAGAGCTGCTGCAGAAAGTGCGGGCCGTCTGTGCGCGCTTTTGGTGTTCTCACCCTGCTGCTGCTGCTCGCCCGTCTGTGCTGCAGCGTAACTTCGGCCTTCCCGCTCACCGCCTCATTTGCGACGTACCCACAAGGTGGAACTCCACCTTGCACATGCTGGAGAGGCTGTGCCAACAGCAGCAGGCGATAGTGGAGTTTCAGCTGCAGCACACATGGGTCAGTTGCTCTGCACCAGACTTGCCCTCCAATAGATCCTGGTTAAAGGATTTAAAGTGTACTCATTCCAACTACAGGGCCTCGAAAGAGTCCTGTATTGTTATTTATCGTCACTACCTCCCCGTGTCGGGAGTGGGTAATTTGCGCGCCTGCTACCTTCCTTGGATGTTGTAGCCATTTCTCAGGCTCCCTCTCCAGAATCGAACCCTGATTCACAGTTATCCGTGGACACCATGGTAGACGCAGAAAGTACTATCGAAAGTTGATAGGGCAAACATCCGAATGCGTCGTTGCCGTCACAGGGACGTGAGATCAGCCCGAAGTTATCTAGAGTCACCAAAGTGCCTGCGCAACGACTGCCTAGTTGACCACATTCTAACTTGTGCTGATAACTGGGTGGCCACCCTGCTTGTAACGTATCCCCGTTACAAAGACAACTTGCCGTCCTTTATTCCCTCACTGGAGCGTGATCGGAAGATGCGCGACTACAAGCGCACACTGGTAGACGTGCTGCTGAGGGCATTCCCAACTGACACCAGGGGCTCAGTGGAAGCACAAGGCAAAGGCAGAGGAGGAGGAAGAGGTCACCAACACAGCTGGGGCACTGCCAGCACCTCAGAAGGCAGGGTTAGCATGGCCAAAATGTGGAAAAGCTTTGTCAGCATGCCACAACAACCAGCACCACCAGCTGATATGGAACGTCTTAGCAGGAGGCAACATTTCAGCAACATGGTGGAACAGTACGTGTGCACACGCCTACATGTACTGACTGATGGGTCTGCCCCATTCAACTTCTGGGTCTCCAAATTGGGCACATGGCCTGAGCTTGCCCTTTATGCCTTGGATGTGATGGCCTGCCCTGCAGCCAGCGTATTGTCTGAACGTGTGTTTAGTACGGCAGAGGGCGTTATCACAGACAAGCGCAGCTGCCTGTCCACAGCCAACATTGACAAGCTCACGTTTATTAAAATGAACCAGGCATGGATCCCACCAGACTTGCCTGTACCTTGTGCAGAATAGACATTTATACCGGCCTCTCCCAGCCATTGTTATACTCAAGTGCACTTATTCTTTGTTTTCTATTTTTATATGTCCCAGTATTTTGGGGGCCTCCCCAATTGTTTGTAGGGCACTTGTCCTACTCTTACCCTCATTTTACTTCCTTTTCCAATACTCTAGCCCTCTGGCCCTTTCCAGGACTTTTTTAGAGCCATTTTAGTGACAAAAAGTTCAGGTCCCCATTGACTTCAATTGAGTTCGGGGTCAAGTTCGAGTCCAAACTCAAACTTTTTGCCGAAGTTCATCCGAACCCGGCGATCCCGAACATCCAGGTGTCCGCTCAACTCTATCAGTAACGCTTTGTCAAATTCCTGAAATTGAGATCGAGAAAAATTATCAAATGCTACGTTCTAAATGCCAGGAATTGTCATGCAGTATTTCTCCTGGGTTCGGCACTTCCGCATTGCGGAGCCGGCCCCGCCCCCTTCTGACGCGGCTCTGACAGTACTTAGGGAGACCGCGCCAGGGAGAAGGCGCTTGGTGATTGTGGGACTTACTTCCGGGTATACACGCCGGCTCCACAAGCTCTGACAAGCCGTCCCAGCCTTTGAGCTAATGCAAGGATTGCTGCATGCCATAAAGGATTACTGGAGAACGGATACTTTGCTAATTTACAAGTGGACTATAACTCTGAACTCTTGGAGGACAACTCACCTTAACCTTAAGTATATCTTTCAACTATTGTCTGCAATATCATTTATTAATAAATAGTGATGTCCCAAACGGTTCGTGGCGAACGGTTCACCACGGACTCATCATGGAGTAAACTTTGACCCTGTACCTCACAGTCAGCAGACACATTCCAGCCAATCAGCAGCAGACACTCCCTCCCAGACCCTCCCACCTCCTGGACAGCATCCATTTTACATTCATTGTGAAGCTGCATTCTTAGTGAGCTGTCCAGGAGGTGGGAGAGTCTGGGAGGGAGGGTCTGCTGCTGATTGGCTGGAATGTGTCTGCTGACTGTGAGGTACAGGGTCAAAGTTTATTCAATGATGAGTCCGTGGCGAACCGTTCGTGGCGAACCGTTCGGGTCAAACCGTTCGCGAACCGTTTCGGGATATCACTATTAATGAACTAATTCCTGCTTGCTCAAATCTTCTCTGCTTCAAGTTATTAATTATATGGATGACAACTCCCATCATGCTTATTTACTATGAACAGTTTCTTGGAACCAATTCCTGCTTGCTTAAATCTTCTCTGCTTCAAGTTATTAATTATATGGAGGACAACTCCCATCATGCTTATTTACTATGAACTGTTTCTTGCTTTGCAAATACTCTCTGCTACCTGCTTAATGTTTCTATTGAAGATTATTCCCAGCAACCTAAAGAATCTTATTAAAAAACTTCTCTGAGGAAATACTTATTAATGAACTTTGTATTGTTTGATTATCTGCACTTTCTTCTTATTGGATTATTGCCTATATGCAATTCGTTTAAGTTTATCAATCATTAAAACTTTGTTTGATTCTCAAATTGCCAGCAATCCTCTCTTTTCTTAAAGCTACAGTATTGATACTTTAAAGATTCTTTGTTTCTTTACTGTTGTAATTAAGGAGTTCTACAAGCTGCAGTTGAGTTCCAATCCAAATAACCTAAGTAGCATAACAGGAATATGCACACATACCAAGAAGAAATTATAGTTACCTGCCTGCCAAGTCAATTTCCTCAGAAAGCTCATGGTGGTCAGAGATTTAGAATGACCTTTGTTAATTATATGGCAGGTGGATAAGTTGTCCGACAAACAGCAGCTACAATAGGATATAGCTTGCACAGTGCAGAGGTGGTGGTGTACCCTTCAATAGGCTAAACCCCCCAAAGCCAATTATCACCAAAAATAGCCGCAAAGCCGGAAGTGGCAGCTGCATCTATGAAAATAGTGAGGGAGTGAGAGGTAAGTAAAGGGATAAACATGCTTTTCCCATTCCGTCTCATGAGAAATTCCTGCCACATGCGTAAATATGAAGTAGCCGGAACGTCTAGTGAAATGCAGGAAATATCAGACTGAAAGCAGGGAAACAGATTGATCAGTCTAGATATGAAAGCCCGGTGGGATAATTTTCATGGCAAGTTGAGGGAGTCTAGTATAGACTGTCATTCTGTACGGATTACAAGATAGGGTAGAGAGATATAGATCGATGCTGGATAGGATGTACTCAATCTTATCTCTAGGCAAACTGGCAAGCATATTAACTGAATATAGTGTGATACCCATGAAATGAATCAATGTGTCGGGTCCTTCTGTATTTTTAGGGGAGATGGGGAGCCCCAGATATTGGAATAGCTGGATCATGGTACTCGGGCTACTAGGTGGAAATAAGTTACTCTCGATAGTCAAGAAGTCCAAATAGTGAATAACCATGGGGCATCTACAGACATTGAGCAGTAGCCAGCATAAAGTCTCAGTGAAGGTATCAAAAATCCTGGGGCTACTTTTTGCACCAAAAGTGAGACGAGTGAAAAAATAAAGAACACTACCACTTAACACCATGTAGATGCCACAAAGAAGGATGGATTGGGAGGAGCTTGAAGGCGTTAATGATATCCGTCTTACTGAGCAATGCCCCTTTCCCTGCGGTCATAATTGCGTCAATGGCTTATCAATAGTAGCATACTGCAGGGAAAATTCCTCTGAAGGAATGAGAGAGTTCAGACTAGGGGTTGTGGAAGAGTGGGGAGCAGAGAGGTCGACAATCAACCTTTGCTTGGCTGAACCTTTACCAGAGACCACCCCAATAGGGTAAGTTTTCCATACTGAGAAAGGTGGGGAACTGAATGGCCCAAGTAGGAAACCTTGATCCAATTCAATTTGTAGCAGATTGTTAACCGCTATTGGATTGGCAAGTGTGGACAGTAGATTTTTACATTCTACAATGCCGAATGGCATGTGAATGATTCCAGTATGGAACCCTTCCATGAATCCAGTCACCAAAAACTCCACCAAGTTGGGTGAGGGATGGTTCTATAGTAAGTCGGCGAGACAAGTCACATTGATAGAGGCCATGTAGGGTTTGGGAAACAATTTATTTGGACACATTGTCTTGGCATGTGCCCTGAAACAAAGAGAACACACATGCAATAACCAGCAAGCACTAAATCCACAGGAACCTGCATTAAAGTTATTGCAAATCTGGGATTTACCCAGAAAAACAATATTACGGTCAAGCTTGTCCTTAATCACTTTCTCAGGTTTAGATGAGGTAGGGAAACTAAAGGTAGCCCCTAGCTCAGGGATATTAGGACATAGGTTTGTGGTATGTGAGAACAAAGAGCAAATATCACAAGCTGGGGACCTAAGGCCTGCGAAGTGCCTGCAAAACAGCTCTGTGTCCAACTGGCTTCAGTTCATCTGAAAATTGAACTGAGCCAGGGCCGCAGAAGCTTTCGCGGAGAATGATCTGTGGTAATCATAAAATGATGTACCTCCATACTTATGCCCCAGGTCCACCAACTTGTGTAAATACAGGTCGAATTCCTCTCTGCATTCAGGATAAACTGAGCACACCACGTCCCTATAAATACCAAAAGCCAGGATGAACTCAGGAATTGACAACTTCCTATTCAACCTGGGGTACCTAGCCTTCAGTACAACCGAGACATTGCCATAGAAATTGGTATTGTTCTCCAGAATATCTTGGGAGGCAATCAGGAGCGAAACTAGATTGATATCCTTGCCTTCCACGATATCCTTCTTGATGTTAGCTGGCACCATGTGAGCTTGGTTGATGATATTAGTGTTCTCTAGTGGACCTATAAATTTACCAGTCAGGGTACCTGAGAGACCAGTAAGTTCTGGAGTAACCAATCCAGATGATGCCACTGGATCCAAACGGTCCAACCTATCCATAATCCATCCCAATGAGGACAAGACTGATGACAGGATGGCATGGAGATTGGATGACTGGGCACCACTGGGGCCCTCGCCAGCTCCGGTGTTATCCGTGTTGGTATTGAGTAACTTATAAAGTTCTGCCTTCCTGGCAGAGGCAGGATAGGGAATATTCCTGTGCCTTAATTCGGCCGTGATCCTAGGTAAGAACCTGAGGGAAGACAGACTGGCATTGTCCCCTCCATGAGATGGAGAGAAGGACTGTGCAGAAGTGCTGAGAATTGACAAATCCTCAATAGCTTCGGGTAGTTCAGACATGCTAGAATAGGAAAAAAGATTCATAAGTAACCAAAGTGATAATAACGGACTGGCTAGCTCATCTAATTCCAAGTGGTGATAAATGACCTAATAAGAGAGAAGGGTGCACTACTAATTGCCAAGTGGCATGAGAGGCTCTAGCTATGTATTGGCCTGAGGGGATTTTGTGGCCACTGCAATTGTGGCGTGGTGGTGGCCTCTCGGTGACTAGAAAAGCAAAAGATAGCATGGGAGTGACAGGGGGAGGCCCTCTCTATA